TATAACTTTTTTTTTTCTGAAACTCTGTCTAGCCACATATAATTTCAGCTGAACAGAGGCACGAAGTCACTTCATCTCCTCCTACCTGGATCGCGTCACAGGCTAATCGAAATTCCGCGCCTCTATCAAGTCTCTAAGTGAGCACCTGCTTAAATCCAGATAATCTCCTTTCCTTTTGGACCGCTTGAGATAATGGATGGATTCAATATTGCTCATATCCCTTGATATCCTCTCCCCTTTTTGTGGCACCTCGTGGCCAGGTGCCCTACGGGTAGGCTTCGATTTCAATCGGATCTCTTTCGAATGCTTAGATCTTTTAGATGTCTCTCCTGAAATTCCTCTTAGAGGGCAGAGTTAGGAGGACCCATTTTCAAAGTCAAACAGCTGGATGTCATTTCAGTTATTGTAATGGCTCGTCTTTTGAGCAGATTGAAAAGGACACTGAGAGATATTTGAATAAATCTATCATATCTCCCACAAAAAACTGTAGAGTAACCAAATTTACCGTGTGAGGCTTGATGTTCACATAGTTTTGCGTATATGAGGAGAACTTCCTCATGAAATAGACTCCATTACCTCCCGTTATTGAGTATTCATGGGACGTCACTTCATGAGAGATTGTAAAATTAGGTCTAAGTGATCGTGAAAGGCCATAAATCACACATGTGAGACGTCATTTTGGGGTCTTGGAACGGATTAATGATCAAGGATATTACTACTTGACTGGAGCCCATTTCTGGGAGACGGGAAGTAGGAACGGTTTTGTGTAATCGATTCGCCGCACGCGACTGTCGCGGACCATTTGCCTCGCTATAATAGTTCTAGAGTTCTACATACAGCTCAATCGCTATGTGATTATTACTTATGGCATGATTCTAATGTTCGCCCTTTTGTTCCTGAATTTCTTACTTGCCGCTGCAGCATTCTGCTACATCCCTTCCCGCGTGGCGTCTCTCTCCCCGCGACGCGACATCTTCGTTCCTACTGCACCACAGCCGCCATTCCTTGACCCCGAGTACTACAGGCCTTATGTGCTACATAACAGACCAAATTATCTAGGATCAAATGCTTAAATATCCATTCTCATAATCAGATTCCAAAACTTATCACAAGTAGTTACGCCTTAGATCTCGGTTCGAGTGAAATCAGGTGGTGGCGGGTTCAAAATTTGAAAACATAATTTTTGCTTGTGATCCAACTGCTATATTTTTTTGAAGGGGGGTTGATGGAAGGATTGTGCTCTGTAAAATATTCACTACTGGTGCAAGAAGTGGATGGAACATCACCAAGAACTTTCTCCAGCTCTTCGCATGAGCGCCTCTGGGAGATGGACAGCTGTATTGGTCAGGGCCATTGAGCTCACCGCTATTCAGCCCTACTTTTCTTGGTGTTGGCCGCTGGCTTCATCTTTATCTGAACTTGTTAAAAAATACTCATCCGGGAGGAAAGAGCTAGAGGCGTTCCAGAATTCAGATTGACGTCATCTCTTACTTGGCGGGCGTTATCTTCTTTGGCCAACGCTATCGTCATATCCGTATTTCTTAAATGCGATTTTGCCTGGACAAGAATAGAGCTGAGAAAGATTTGGGAAATCCAGATTATCTCAATCTCTTCCACTTTAGTTAATTGAAANAAACCTCGTGTATGCACTTCCTGAATCTCTAATGTCCCCATCTGCTCTTACGTCATTGCTTGGAACGGATTTACTCATGGGGCCTCAGGGGGTTGATTCCTTTTCAAACTCGATCAGGTGCAAGTGCGCCGTATGTTGCGCTTTCTTTTTACAGATAGTCATAGAACTTCTTTAGAAATTTTGACAATTGAAAACAAATGAATAGAACAGTTCGAAGTATTTGAAGCATTGAAAGATTTTAATTTTCTTTCAGCTTTTTATTAATGATATGCGGTTACTTAATAAAACTATAAGAGTTATTGTTCCTCAAAAGATGAAACTTCTCCAAGAACTTTCTAAAAAGGCGTTTTATACTGTAATACATGATAAGATCCTCACGGATATTGGAGAGCATAGAATTTGTGTGTAAAATGAATTAATGGAGCTTTTCTGAAAAAAATACGCCGTTGCTGATTGATGTTGACATATCTCAAGCTACGTTTTTCTCATCAGTTCTTAGTCAGAATGCAAGATGTACTTGAAGGTGTACGTGATCCGCCCAGTGACTGATTATTTATTGGATTCACTTTTTCGGTGGTGGTATAGTGGCAAGTAGAGCATCATCCCACATGCTCAAATTGATAAGCCCCCAGGCCGGACAAATGTTCCATACCTGGTTCCAGACTCGTCTGGGAGGTTAAAAGCGCTGACTTATACATCATCTGGCCACGGCAATTCATTTTATAGGCCTCTTACGCATTCATACGTCACAACGGCTTTGAATGTGAGTCGAATGTAGGGCGCATCCCTCTGACGGGTTTGATTAACGCCCACTGAATTATTTTTTTAGGATTTAAAAGTTTGAAATTACTACAAAATGAGTTAATTAATTAATTAGAGTTTTTGAAGTATTTCTTTGGAAAGGTATTTCAGTTTGAAGTAACTGATAGGATTTTGATGAGGACTGAAGACCACAGGCTTCATGTGTGAATAAATTAGTGGGGCCTTTCTCATAAAGAAAAACCAACGCCACCGACCAATTTTCGACCTGCCTAGTGCTACATTTTTTTCACCTTTCATACTTAAAATAACAGATGCTCTTGAAGGCGTACGTGATTCACCCAGTGGCCGGTAATTTATTGGATTCAGTGTTTGGAGCTTCATTTCGGTTAACATCAGTACATTAGTTCAATTTGCCAGAAAGCCCTTGTGCTGTCCCAGGTTTTCAGATGAGAAAATCAATCCAGCAGTCTATTATTTCGATGTAAACCTTTTTTGAAATGTCTGAAGTGCTTCGCATCTTCAACGAATCCCTAATCCTCTCCAGCATTTCCAGTACTTCGATAATATGTCAAAGATTTGCAAAGAACCCTATGAACTTAGTGGGGATTACACTCTCTTGGGGAAAGCTGTTACCCCGACGGATATCTACCCTTACCATATGGGAGTCCTTACTTCATTCCCTATATTTTTATTACTTACATTACATATGCAAATCTACCCAAGCTGCCCCCTCAGAAGAGGAGCTTTCCTCGAATACGCAAGCCTTTCGATCGCTTTCTTGCAAAAGTCTGAAGCCTTCTCAAGTAGAAAGGTTGCCTTGGCTAAAGTATTTAGCAGCTTCAATTGAAGCTTAGGATTCATAGTCAGCTGCCCAAAGAATCTATGTAAAGTCAGGTTAAAGCCCCGCCCAAAACCGAAGTTTTGTCTTTAATTCGCCAACCTTTTGAGGATCTGTGTAAAGCCAAATATGGTGGGCTGTTACGGGAGTGGAAAATCACTTTGTAATCTGCTTTTGTGTTCGTTAATTACTTCGAGTACCAGATGGATGAATGACCTCTGTGAGCCCTCCATCATACTAGTAGTTTGTTTCGGAATTCTTGTTAATAGCACTCTGTCTTCTGATTTCACTTACATGTCTTTTTTTCATAACGTTAACACCCATCANTGTGTAAAGCCAAATATGGTGGGCTGTTACGGGAGTGGGAAATCACTTTGTAATCTGCTTTTGTGTTCGTTAATTACTTCGAGATGGATGAATGACCTCTGTGAGCCCTCCATCATACTAGTAGTTTGTTTCGGAATTCTTGTTAATAGCACTCTGTCTTCTGATTTCACTTACATGTCTTTTTTTCATAACGTTAACACCCATCAATAACAATAACAGCAACAATGTGGTCGACATGAGCCTAGGCCCTTCTCTATCTGTTGTGTAAAATCGGATAACTTTATTTCTACCACGTTGGCTCTGTTATGGTCCTACTGTACTCTAAGGATGCTCCTAGCTACTCACGATAGGGATTCTCATACTTAGCTCTGAGTTTAATGTACCACAAGCCCCTTGTTCTTTGTACACCACCAGAAATTTCCTCGTCTACATTTCCATCTCCCATCGCTTTTTCCCCATGAGCAAGTGGCTTAACTTTTTCTGCTTCTCCAGAGTAATGGTCGTCAAATATCGGTTGATTAATGGTCATTGACTTACTTTGTTTTGGCTTCCTCTCGATTTGATACTGTATTTTCTATGAAATTATAATAAACAAAAACATCCAAGGAAGCCATCCGGCGAACTTGGCTTTTGATTTCTGACGTTCAGCTCTCACACATGTGCACGTACTCGTTGCTGTCCTTAGCGTCAGTTCTTAACAGCCGCACGTTCGATAACAATTGGGGCTGACGTGATGGGAGGGGTGGCGCATTCTTTGGGTCGGTTATCCCTGAAAAGTTTGAGTTATAGGTTGAATGCTTGGCTTCGTGGTGGGAATGTGATGCTCCACCAGGAGCAATCCTTGAGCTGTTTTCCCTCGTTTCACTTTAGCTATTCCAGCATTTGCCTTAGTTTTCAAGTGGGAAGAAAGGACAGTCCGTCATGTGGGACACAGTTGAGATCAACATACCTTTGCTGTGTTTTTTATCATTCTGAATGTTCCAAATTCAGTTCTTTTTCATGTATGATGAATAGTTATTGCCCTCGTCCTAATCATTACTGGTGGACCTACCACTCTATCTGACAATCTCTCATTGTCAGAAGGATATTACACCAAAAGGGTAAGGTAATTGAGAATTACCACAGTGATGCAGTGTGTCTAACACGACAGTCGGTGCCATCTGCTTACCCTTGGAAGGCTTTCGTTTGAGGGAATTTTTTTTTTGCTCAGAGATAGTGCCGCTTCAGCATTTTATAGTCGTCATGTTCATACTTCTTCCTCGTTTGTAGATACTGAAATTCTTCTTCGTCGGCTTCACTCACAAATCGCTTTCTTATTCGATCTTTTTATACTTCTGAAAATCGTTTTTCAGTCGCTCGAGCGGTATTTTGCCTGGGTTTGCCTCATTATCGTGTGGGACAACCTCAAAATTTGTTTACATCATTGTTTTTCTTTTGCAGGCCATGGCCGCTAAAGCAGGAGTACCGCAACGAAAAATGACCTACTTTCACGTCACTCCACCTGGTGAGTAATCTTTGGATTGCTAGCAAGAATTCTTCCGACGAACTGAATAATTTTTCTATGTATGTAAACATTTTTTCTATGCAACCGGAGAAAGTTCGAGCTTTTAAAACAAAAAGTTTGGCGAACCACTGCAAGCTTCTTCAGGGCCCGTCTGGGTTTAGACTTGTAGCTTTTGCAGCTGTACCTGGTGTAACGATCTTCCCAAAATTGAATTGATGTCCGTTTTCAAACCTTCTGCCGCTGTCCATGGAAGAGGGCTTCATCGTGTCTGTCTGTGAAGAGAAGTACACCCCCTCACCCTTGAATACCTCGAACCTTACCTTGAAGATATACTTTGGAGTAAACCTTGAGAGGGAAAAAGTTGCGCATCAATCGTTGCATAAAGGAAATGGCTTCCTCGAGAGCAGTGCAATAGCCTCCTGAATAAATAAATAAATGAATAAATGAGCACATTATTATGTAGTCTCTTCTAGGGGAGGTACTGTGTCCTATGATAGAATTACTTAACTCACGTATTATTGTTAGGATTGGGACCTTGATTTCAGTTCTAATTGAGAAGAAGTTCCTGACCCTTTTCAGTTTCATTCCTTCTCGGTCCACACGCTAAGCTCGGTTCTTCCTCATCCAAAAAATCTTTCGAGCTAAAAATTTTAAGCCCAGTAGTTTCTTAGAAGATTTTTGTGTTTTTTCGGCTATACTCTTGATCACCCTAGCACCCATAGTGCCCCAAATATTTCGGGAACTCAATATTATTCCGGATATTGAACGATTTTTGAGATACTGCACAGCTGTTGGTCTTTTTTTTGTTGCTTTGTCTGTTGTTCTTTCTGTCAGGCCAGCTGTCCATGCACTCAGCTTGATGACCTCGGGCATCCACCGCAAGAACGTCGGTTCATATTTTACAAAAATAAAACGTCTGTCATCCAAGTGAACTTGAGTACACGTCGTTCTCTAATGACACATTTTCATCCATGCCTACATCAATAAAGATCGAAACGCTTTCCATCTAATGGGGTCAGATGGCAGCACCGGCTTAACTCCTGCCACTCGGGATGCGAAAAGGGGAAGACAAAAAGGTAAAAGACAAGGTTTTTGGTATTGATAAATCCCGTCCTGGGACACCGATGGGCCTAGGTGGGCATCGGTCCTAGATTCGATCGCCAAAACATGTGTTTCTCAATATAAACCGATTGCTAGATTCCTAATAGAGAGGAGACCTCGATCCCGATGATTTCCAAGCTGCGTTCATTTGGTAAGATGAGAAGGGCTGTCGAGGAGATTGGACAGTGGCGGAGGCTCAAAAAAGCAATCATTACCATATGCTGAGTCCCTGTCTCCAACTGCAGCGCTCAAACATTAATAAAATTCAAAAATGGAGATTAATTGTCTCAAAGCACCTGGAGGCGACTCATTCAATAGATATGTGTCGTCTCATGTGTTCATGTCTTCAACAAAAACATAAAACTTACAGATTTGACATGGGGTTCTCCAATACCGCACATGCTTTTTTATACCTACCCTGAGCAGTTATAGTCTGCCATCGTCGGCGTCGGGGAAGTCTTCTTCTCTGGAACCCTATTTAACCTTTTTCACATTCTCCAGTCCTGTTTATTAGGTTGAATTTGATAGGGTGGCATAGCTGAGTTTTTGAAATTTTTGTAAAAAAGGCTTGGTCGGTGGAGTAGATTCGTGCGAGGACTTGATCCTTTAGTCATTTGTTGGGTAGCGCTGCCGCGAGTGGTTCTCCTCCATTCCTTTTCCGGAGCTGTGTTCCCAGTTAAATTCATTTGAATTGTATTGTGTTATCTTTGCATTTTTGTTATGAAAAGTTCAAATTGCAGATGGACCGAGTAGGCAGGTACGAGTACCGAACGTGATAGCATTGGTTGGATTGCCTGCCCGAGGAAAAACGTACATTTCGCACAAACTATGCCGATATTTGAACTGGATTGGAATCAAAACGAAAGGTTTGTTCAATGATTTTTATTCGATCATTTAAACCTTTTTACAAGCCAATTCGTTAGTTGTTCAAGTTGGAATGTTCATGAAATTTGAGTTTTTTTCGAGGATTATGAAATCGACTGAGAAGTATTTAGTGGCCTAAAAAAAGCAGAACATAATATAGACAAGGAATAGGACGGTAGCGATCTCTTTCGTTCAATTTTTTACCTAGAAAAACTGACTGAAACTGGAGTGTCTGAGCCCTACATCGTCCTTGTCGCGATCTCTAACCTCATCAAAAATGATTGATTAGGGTTTCAAGTTGAGGAAGAAAAAGGTTTTTGAAATTGTCAACAAGTATGTCATGATGTTCCAGCGTTCAACGTTGGCGAATACCGACGGAAAGCATGTGATTTGGTGAAGGAGGGTGACTTCGAGTTCTTCAGCCCCTACAATCAGAAAGGAACTCAGATAAGAGAGTATGTATATCAGAAGCTTCTACCTCGTTTTATGATGTTATAAAGTCGTTCCATGTTTCTATAGAAATGTTATAAAGATCGTGATAAATAGCGCGGCTACTGTTTAGTGATTACTTGTATCCGTAATATGTAAAAAAGATTCAAACTAGTAACCAGTTCGAGTTGTAGCCCAAAGACACTGGCCAGGATGGTGGGCATATTTCTGAGCATAAAAGGCCTCACTGAAAACTACTGAGCTATGATTGATTATTAGTTCAAGTTGATTTTACTTCCAAAAGTTGGTTTTCCAGAATTTTTAGTTTACTCTCACAAAAAACGTAGAAATTCATGTAAAACAGAGCCTCTTTCAGAGAATGCGCTCGACTTGCCATAGAGGATATGGGAGATTACCTGCTTTCGAAAGAAGGAGAAGTTGCTGTGAGTGTCCAAGAAGCTATCCTTTTGTTCACTTTTTATTCGTTTGTTCACCTTATTAACAAAGTTAGAGATTGATTTTGATTGCTTTTCGCTTTTTTGAGAATTTTTGAAGCAAGCTTATCATCTAAATTGTAGTCCGAACAAAATTAATGAGCAGTATCGCTCCAAAAATTTCCCGAAACTCTTGGGAATCATACTTTATCACTTTTGTTCATTATGTTTGCTTAAAAGGCACAGCAGTTTTGAGGTATCCGGTCTAAGTGAGTTAATGGAAATTAAGAGACAGAATAGTGCAAAAGTGGCGAAGGAAGCTCGAAAACCGGCGAATTTTAGTTCAGAAAGTATTAAAAAAGAGGGTTGTACGAGATTATGTGTCCGTAACCGTCTGAGTGTCTCACGCACTAGTGTACTATTCGCCGGCGCCCTCCATTGTGAATGGTGCTGCTTAAACAGGGCCGTGATAACACGACCACTTTGGGTGTGTGCGTCGAGCCGGTAACCACTGAACACTTTCAGGATCTGAGTTCAAAATAAGTGGCATTAATCAATTTTTTTCGTAAATGTTTTCATTCATGATCTCTTCGCATCAGTGCTTCAGTATTTCTGTATAGCAAAGAAATATTGTATTCCACTTTCAGATCCTTGATGCCACAAACACCACCCGAGCCAGACGTCGAATGATTATCGACTATTGCAAAAGCCAACGAACACTTCTCGATCCTCCGTTTCGATTGTTTTTCGTGGAAAGTGTTTGTGATGATGAAAGGATCATAAATTCAAATATCACGGTAAATCAGCTTATACTATTGAAGAATAATTTGCGATAACTTAGGGCGTCATCGGGGGCTCTCATGTTGGTCAGTAACATTTTGGTTCCCGTTAAGAGTTACCCCGAGGTGTTCTAGAAGTGAAGTGGAAAACTTGAAGGAAGTCTAGTAGCCTGTCTAGTACCAGTGGAAGTAAGCATAATGTGGAACCTTAAAAAAGGACTGTGTTGAGGACCCATGAGGAATCGCATAGGTAACCTCTCAGGGTGAGAAGGCTTGTGAATTGGTAAATTCAAATTTCAGATTGTAGAATAATTTAACTAACACCACATTCTCTCCCCAAATCCCCTCGATTTCTCTCCCGTACCGTTCTGGAGCGGAAGGTATAAAAGTAATCTAATGAAGATAAAAATTAGAAGATCTGTGTGGTAGTACTCTGCACTACCCCCATCGCTCCTACCAAACCTTGCCTAGAACACCCTAATATGATAAATTATGTAATTAGATAGACGAATTTATAATTTTTCTAAGTTTTTTCTCCAAGGATAGTTAAATGCTACTAGTTAGCAACAACTTATTGCTTTGTAGGATGTGAAAATCAACTCACCGGATTACAAAGGGATAATGTCCCATGAAGATGCCAGAGAGGATTTTGTGAAACGAATAGAGAACTATAAACTGCAATATGAACCGCTTGATCAAGAAGAGGACGAAGAATTGTCATTCATCAAGGTAACCAGCTTTATTTTAATAAATTTTGAGAGGCTTCAGGATGTTTTTTCTTCCATTCGTACTTTCATTCTCCTTACATGATTGGATTGGAAGATTCATGCGGTTTCTTTTTCTGATTACGCTTTTTAAAATATTTTTCTGAAATCCTCTACCCGCCAGACTAGTCGGGACTACAAAAAAACTTTCGTATCATTTCTAAGGAAAAAATGGTGAACTTTTAGGTGATAAATGCCGGCAAGTCGTTCTACGTCCAAAATGTCAACGGCCACGTACAGAGCCGAGTTGTCTATTTCCTTATGAACATCCACTTACTGCCTCGATGCATTTATTTAACTCGGGTACGTTAGATTTTCGAAATCTCTGGATTTTTACTAATTTGACGAGTGTGATGAGATAATACAAGTAGTAATAGTATTTCGAATGCCGCTCCCTATGATCTTTTCCGAAACATGTTTTGGATAGGTGGTTTTGAAGTTGTTGTATTGTGGCGAATATTGGCAGTTGTAGTAAACGGTATAAAAGAATCACATACTTCCCTACTTCCTAATGTGACTTGTTGGCACCAGTAGAAGTTCCCTAGGTAATAACACCTATTTCAGCATGGCGAGAGTGAATATAACCAACTTGGACGACTTGGCGGTGACAGCCCTCTTAGCGAGAATGGCAAACAATATGCACGAAGACTGAAGGAATATTTCGAGGTGAGTAAGCAGTTAGCCTGGGATTCATAATAAACCTTTTTTTGAAAGAAGTAATTGCAGGAAGAAGATTTGGATGATTTACGGATATGGTCGTCACAACGAATCCGTGCAGTACAAACAGCTACAGAGCTAGAGGACCTCGCATCTCACATTGAGTACTGGAAAGTTCTTGATGAAATTGATGCGGTGAGTGGATAGGATCAAAACTCAAAAAACATTCTGCTACGGGTCCCATGTTGAAAAAATGTCTATTGATCTGCAATGTTTGACCTGTTGTTAACTGAAGAGGTACATTTCTCTATTTTTAGGGTATTTGTGAAGGACTGACATACGAAGATTTCGCGAACCGCTATCCCAAACAATTCGCTGAGAGGGACAGAGATAAATATCACTACAGATATCCGAGTGGCGAGGTATGCACATGAATAACCTCCTCCTTCCTCCTGGAAACTTCTAACCAAGCCATATTAGTTTGACTGAACAGCATTGTTTCAACCTCGTCAGAAAGGTTAAAAAGAAGAAACTAAATCAGGCAAGGGTTGAGGCAGTATGGCTGCTTTTATAGTCCACGATTTGGCAGGCGACCGATCGCAGGACTGATCGCGCGACCGATCGAGGAGGCGGCGCTAGCCGTGGGCGCCGCCGAGCGATCGATCACTCGCAAAATCGTGGACTATGAAAGCAGCCTATCTGATATCATGAATGCATTGAAATCCTCCTTGATATCGTAGTCGAGAAAATCGCAAGGATTATTTGTTTTTTTTTGCATATATTGACAGTATTTCAGAGTTATGAGGATCTGGTCAGTCGTCTCGAACCGGTCATTATGGAACTCGAACGATTGGCAAACGTTTTGGTGATTTCTCACCAGGTAATTAGTTTCGATTCATTCTCGAACTGAACTGGAGCATCTATTGCACTGGATGCTTTTGATAAGTCACTTTGATATTTTTCATAAATTTTTGACAAATGTTGTAGTGACAATCTGTCCTTGTGGGCACAAATACCCAAATGGGAATGATACTGCAAAAACAGTTCAACGGAGAACTTGTTGTACGAATGTAAATCCAGCGACAGTAACACCTTTTTGAGCCTCGATCTCTTTCATAAATAAACACCTAGCCAAACTCTGGGTGCCCAGGCTGAATTCCTTTTCTTGCGCCTAAAGGAGGCGGTGTGGACTTAGAGAAGATCGTCTTCAAACCTATTTAGCATTGGCATTCACCTTTTTTCATGAACTGCCTTTGATTCCATATAGACTTCATCTCTTGCCTTCTCAATCATATGAAGGGTTGCTCTCAGTGTTGCTTCTATTCAGGCTGTTTTGCGGTGTGTCTTGGCATACTTCACGAACAAAAGCCCAGAGGAACTTCCATATCTCAGCGTGCCTCTACACACGGTCATCAAACTAACTCCGAAAGCTTATTCCTGTGTCGTAGAAATGTACCAGTGTGATGTGAAAGCTGCAAATACGCATAGAGACAAGCCAGAGGAAGTGGTCAGTTTATCTTTGAAATTCAAGCCAAAATTTAGGGAGCGGTCACGCTACCAAACTAATGGCTGATTCATGGCGTTAGCATTTACGAGTGTTTCCGCTCTAGCTGGAAAGCACTGGTAGGGCACATAAGGGCTTTGGAACTGATCTACAAGAACCTCTTTTTGTAAAGGACAGGGGGTCCGGTATCTTCTTCCCAAAAACGGCGTCGCGTTCACCCGATCGCGCGCTATGAAGGGAAAGGTTTGAATTCCCAGTGCAAGAACGTCGTGCAGATCAAATGGAGCACGTTTGCTGCGCGCCTACTTGAGTTATTGCCCCGCGCGTGGGTGGAATCTCGTCCAAACAACCTTTTCCGTCTGCTACAACCCTAACAAGGGACTGATTGGATGAGAACCAAATGTTTTGGGATGCTTGCAAGTGTTCTCGTTTTCTTCGCCTTTTCTTGAATTTTTTGCATCTGCATTTATACCCTTCAACTCCATAACTCGAACTGTCTCTAAAGAAAAACTATCACTTTGAACATCCTCTATGGCGAGTTATGACTAGCCTGGCTGCTGAGAATAGCCACTTGCTGCTCATCCATTTCGCCCAACCCGCTCTTCCATAGAACCGCAACGTCGTAAAACTTGATTGATAGGGCTATTTGTTTGAAAGTCGCCAATCCTCAATGATTAATGTTTATTTTTCAGTGGAAAAAAGTGGAAGATGTCGGCTACATTCATTCTCCATGGTGAGTTCCATAAAGCTGTACATGATACCATCGATTCTCCCTTTTTGATAATAGACGTAGGAAAGAACAAGTTTTTCCTGCAACTCTGCTTCGCCGGGGGCTTTGACATACGGGCCGTTCTGAACAGAAGAGGCTAAATGTCCTGTTGTCAGATGAAGCCGGCTGCTTTTTTTTAACCGTTTTCCGCACTATTGTGATGCCCCTGAGCAGCAGAGCTATCATTGATATAGTTAGTATCGAATAGGAAATCAAAGACGAAAACTATAAATAACTTTTTGTATAAAGGAGATTCCCTCCTGTTAAGGTCAAAGAAAAACACTCCTCAGGCAGAAGGAAGTGGCAGCGCCAAAAAATGGTAACGTGATGGGGCTTGAGACTATTCAAGAAAAAGGAACCTCCATTGCCTGCTCATGTCGCACCCTATTGTCGCAAATTTTCCCTCTGTCACAGCGTTTTTGTAGATGAGTAGACGGTTCCCTCAGCTTTATTGTTCCCATTTTGACGCTTCAAATATTAACCATCGACTGCTTCTACTTACTTTCCGTTCAAATCTTTCTAAAAGGTGGACTTTGTCAAATACAATGTCAGTGGACAAAACAGATTTTCAGTTCTGTCTCTTCAAATCTGATGTTCCTGTGTATGCATGAATTCACTCCTTTTAGAAATAATTGTTATGCATTTCAGAGATCTTCATTATTGCCCGAATTCGACAGTCGGAAGCTTCAGGTGGACTATCATCTACCATCGGGCAAACTTACCTTGAAATGTTCATCTGTACATATTTTTTGTAGAGTTTTTAACTTAATATTAGTCGCTCCCACTTGGGGGCTACATTCTTACCCACTAGCATCGATTACTTAGTGCTGAGTGACAACAGCATCGTGCAATGCATTCGGTCTTCAACAAACTGAGTTTGTTCAGAGAGAACGTTTAACACGTCTTTGGCACATGGTCCTGTGGTGTAGTGGTTATCACGTCTGCTTCACACGCAGAAGGTCGCCGGTTCGATCCCGGCCAGGACCTTGTCTTTTGCGTTTCCCAGTAACCCCCTTTTACCAGCTACGTCCCCCATTTCTCGGGTTCGAGGATCAAGACCGTCTTCTAAAGAATCGTTGCACACAAAGTTGGTGGGATTGCTCAATTTCCGGGCAAAATAGAATTGTGATCATAGAAATTGTTGGAAAGTACTACAAAAATTGAAGATATCGTAGTTCTACTTCTCGATTAGGGAAGGTTGCTGCTCAAAAAGAGTATACGTAACGGATTGCTCAAGGTTCCAGTCCATATTCTGGTTCTAGTCTTGCTAGAATAGGTCCTGGCAAAATATGGTTCTCCATCATCATTCTCTGGCTGAACTATTCCGCGGAATCAAATCTGGCCCATTCTTGAAGGGTAATGTTAACTTCATCGAAAACAACAAGTACCTGGATTCCTGTACATGGAAATACGATTCTCGCCCATTATCGGAGCGGATTAGATGGGTCCCTGTAAGTTGAATCGACCTTACCTAATCCAATGACTCTCACCTTACCCTCGTTATGATGGCTTCCCTGCCAATTTTCTTCTACGGATTGATCCACTGTCTTCGTCAGTCTTCCTGATGGGGACATACTACCCATTAGTGACCATTCTGTGGACTGGAAGGCATTTCTGTCTCCATCGCATGGCTCGAATAAAGAGCATGTTCTTGTTTGAGCTTACCAATATCACGACAAACGCCTGGGAATTCTTAAAATTGGGTACCCCGGGTTAGATGTTCCAAGAAGATGGTTAGCATTGCAAGACTTTTTGTCTAACACAATAACTTAACCTGCCTTACTCTATAGTGATCAAACAGATATTTATTGTGTATAGTTTTTCATTTTTCTAGATGGTGTGTATAGATTGCAGGGAAATAATAGTTAATGTGATCTTAGGTTGGCGTTTATAGTAGGCGACAATCATTGTAATCATTGTATCACAGAATTGTTTTGTAGGTATCATGTGTTATCATTTTTAGAATTCTAGATTGTACAGTAATAGGTTTGTTCATTAACAACGATATAAAGATTGTTTATATGTGTTTGTTTACTATACGAAGTGGAAAATGCGCTCATTGTTTTTACCAAAGAGTGAATGTCATGGGTAAGCCATTGGTTAGTGATCGCTTCAAATTTTTAATGGACGAGTTGATTGGGTGTTGGTCTACCGCTATAGGAATTACTAGTGCTAATGTGCTTGGCCTTTCTATTTATTTATTTATTTGTTTGATAATACATCACAAGGATGTGACACGAGAAAATAAATAGAAAATATAATTCAGACACACTACATAAATTCATACACATCATCAAATCTCACTTTAGCAAGGGTGTCATTTGTGGCTCCGACATCCAGAATGAGCCAGAACTATTGCGTGTCTAAGGCGAGTACTTTAGGATCGGCAGTGAAGCCAAGCCTCTCAACCGACTTGACCGTACGTACGTACGCCCCCCATTTACGGCCTTTATACAAAGAATTCCCAGAAAGGACAGCACGATAAAAATGGTATCCGAGAATTCGTGGGTAGGAATCTACCGCTCCTGAGAAGGCCAGATTATATGTACATTGTTGGGTCTGAGTCAACTAAATACATAGGACGTAGTATGGACTCTGAATCTGCCAAGTCCATCTCAATACTCTCAAGAAGGACGCGTTCAATTGTCTTGGTAGGGATTTACATCATTCAGAATGGAGTATGTCTCTATGCAGCCAGCTGATAGACCCTGATAGACAACAATATTGCTCTGCAAAGACTTTACCAGTACCTCATTCAAGCATTTCCTTCACCACCACGGCCTCGTTCATACCTAGTAAGGGTAATTAGCTCGTGAAAGATCTTATATTTCAGAATATAAGATCAATAGCTACACCATCAATTTTCAATTTTGCTACGAGGTTTCACAAAGTGACGAGCTGCTTCCAAATGTGTACCTTTACCCCCGGTGCCATAAGGCTTTCATGTGCCCTTCTACTTTGTCACTTTACGCCTTTCTCACCAAATTCCAACTCTGGGAGCATCATTTTCTCCAAAACAACATTAATATGCGTGCCGTTTGTTGTGCAATTTTGGTGACCTAAGGGCCTCGAATTTGGGCACATTGAAGCTGTATGGTAATGTTTGAAAAAAAAAACCCGAAATCCTACAAAAATGGCGAAAATAACAGAAAATTAGCCAAAAAGCCGGGAATGAAAGGAATGAATGAGCACTGAAAAAAATGGATGGCTACTGCTTCCGACGCTACTGCTGTTGGCAGCACGCTGTCAAATGATCTGCCGCTCGATGACGAAGATCAGAACTTGATATTCTGCAC